GTACATCTGCTTGTACAGAAGCTTCCATGCACCCTATATTAAGTCTGTTGTGTAAATAATGTTAGTGCAGGGAAACAAGTGTGGGAAGAGATGAGCAAGTCTGCTAATGTTGCCATTAGCAAGACAAGTCAAAGTGCTCTTTCTATGATTTTAATCCTTTAGCATTAGCATTTGTCATGACACACCTGAGCACATGATCACAGTTGCATTTTACTGAAACCAGCAATAACTTAAGGCTAATGGGCATTTCCTTAACCCTTGTGCCCTCCTCACATTTTCAACCTTTCGACCCCTTCGTGGCAAAAATGTACACGCCCATAATAACTGCTATTAAATCATCATACATCAACATTTTTTTCTACTTTTTTTTTCATGAATCACATAAACAACTTCTAACGTACTCAAAACTACCAAACATTCAATGGTTGTCAGTATTTTAACCCTTTAAATGCCTGTTTCATTATTTGAATTATTTAATTTCTCTCAAAAATGCCTCATTGACTTCCATTCAGACCACCTTTTTTGATCTCACTGCCATTGCAGTATAAAACCATGCATTTTGTAATGTCAGCATTTCATTTAGAAGACAAGTAGTGATATATTTCTACTCTATTCCAACAGATTACACCATTTTCCCCCTGTAGGCCGATGCATGAAATTCTTACATTTTTGCCAGTTATATTATGGAGCCGTGTGACTACCAGGGGGCCCCGAGAGTGGTGTGTGTGTGTGTGTGTGTGTGTGTGTGTGTGTGTGTGTGTGTGTGTGTGTGTGTGTGTGTGTGTGTGTGTGTGTGTGTGTGTGTGTGTGTGTGTGTGTGTGTGTGTCATTTCCAGCAGCAGACCAGCAGGTCCTGCAGCATGTGACCTGGTGCTCTCTCAGGTGATAGAACAACAATTTTGTAGGCCTGTGCACAACCAGCACACACCTCTCCTCCCTCTCCGTGTGTGTGTGTGTATGTGTGTGTGTGTGTGTGTGTGTGTGTGTGTGTGTGTGTGTGTATATGCGTGTGTGTGTGTCATTTCCAGCAGCAGACCGGCAGGTCCTGCAGCATGTGACCTGGTGCTCTCTCAGGTGATAGAACAACAATTTTGTAGGCCTGTGCACAACCAGTACACACACACATACATACACACACACACCACTCTCGGGGCCCCCTGGTAGTCACACGGCTACATAATATAACTGGCAAAAATGTAAGAATTCCATGCATCGGCCTACAGTGGGAAAATGGTGTAATCTGTTGGAATAGAGTAGAAATATCAAATATCACTACACTGTAAAATGTTTGACTGTAAAATTACAGTAAATTACTGGCTACTAGTTGCATGGATTTCACGGTAATTGACTGTGAATATGTCACAGTAAATTACTGTAGATATTTTACAGTAAATTAGAATAAAAGTACAACTAAATACTGTGACTTTACAGTTGCCATGCCCATGGAATTACTGTGATATATCAGTACAGAGCTGTGATATTATGGTACCTTGCTGTACATAAATTACAGTAATTACCTCTATTTTCACACTATTACTGTAGAAGTAATGCAACACAGTAGCCAGTAATTTACTGTAAATATAAAAATGTAAATAATACGATAATATATTGAAAATCTGACTAGTTCACTGGGATTTTACCATAACTATCCAATTCAATCAGCTCAATCAACAAAGAAAATGCCCATTTTAACTTTGTATTACTCCATTGAAGTGCAAAGTACATTTCACAGTGTCTTGGACATGTTGTTATGGCCCCAACCTCTACTCCGCGTAGTGGCTGGTGCTGAGACCCGCAACATGAAAGAATACACGCAATAACCGGTACTTGGTAACGAGCATTTATTTATAATCAGCCGTTTGTTCACACAAGCAAAACGGGAAACAAAAAGAGGTCTGGAGGACTGGCCAAAAGGAACAAACAGAAGGAGGGAACCCGAGCCAGCCACACCACGGGCCGTAGGACCCAGAACTCCCCCCCCTAACCAGAAATCAATTATAAACCCTATGGGAAACAAAATAAAGCCACGAAAACTGGACTACCAGGTCCTCCAGGCTAAACATAAACACATCTGCAAAAATCTGGCCTACAGCTCAGAATGGCAAAGAGGTATTCTAAGCAGAGTGTCTCCCGGCGTTAGGACAGGCGAGACATCCTTCTCCTCCAGCTTCTCTTTATATATACACGGCTGAGTGGAATTTGGAACACCTGGGCAGAGGCGGAGCCAGGGGCAGACCAGGTGCACCTGCAGCAGGGAGACAGAAATAAAACAAGGAGGGGAGCACTTAACATGTCTACAGACATCCACTCGAAGTCAACAATTTTTCTGAAGAATGTGCTGACATGGGGGTTTAAATTGCCATGCCTCTTTTTGGCTTTCGAGCCCGTCTTGGGGTTAATGCCCAGGAAGCACCTGAAAACAATAAGCCAAGACAACCATTTCAATTTTACATAGATTTATATCGTTTATTTTAAGGCACATGCAGCGGTGCCCCTTTCAAATTAAGTAAAACCTGCACCAAAGAAATAAATTTGTATTTAAAGCCAAGCAAGAGCGATGAAAGCAAGAAAATCACTTAATTTGTTGTGTTATCACAGAGGATGGTCTGAATACAGTATTTTACTGTGAAATAATACAGTAAAACCTGCACCAAAAGAAATAAATTAGTATTTAAAGCCAAGCAAGAGCGATGCAAGCAAGAAAATCACTTAATTTGTTGTGTTATCACAGAGCATGGTCTGAATACAGTATTTTACTGTGAAATAATACAGTAACATGTTGTGAAATCCTGGTTATCATTGATCCTGTACATTCACAGTAATTAACTGTGCCTGTATTGATTTCACTGTGAAATTCAAAATTACAGTATTATATTGTGAACATTACAGGTAAAGATTGTAAAGTGGTAAAACAGTAATTTATTGTAAAATATTACAACAAAATATTGTGAAATCATGGTAATATTTTACAGTGTACTTGTCTTCTAAATGAAATGCTGACATTACAAAATGCATGGTTTTATACTGCAATGGCAGTGAGATCAAAAAAGGTGGTCTGAATGGAAGTCAATGAGGCATTTTTGAGAGAAATTAAATAATTCAAATAATGAAACAGGCATTTAAAGGGTTAAAATACTGACAACCATTGAATGTTTGGTAGTTTTGAGTACGTTAGAAGTTGTTTATGTGATTCATGAAAAAAAAGTAGAAAAAAATGTTGATGTATGATGATTTAATAGCAGTTATTATGGGCGTGTACATTTTTGCCACGAAGGGGTCGAAAGGTTGAAAATGTGAGGAGGGCACAAGGGTTAAGGAAATGCCCATTAGCCTTAAGTTATTGCTGGTTTCAGTAAAATGCAACTGTGATCATGTGCTCAGGTGTGTCATGACAAATGCTAATGCTAAAGGATTAAAATCATAGAAAGAGCACTTTGACTTGTCTTGCTAATGGCAACATTAGCAGACTTGCTCATCTCTTCCCACACTTGTTTCCCTGCACTAACATTATTTACACAACAGACTTAATATAGGGTGCATGGAAGCTTCTGTACAAGCAGATGTACTGTACGTTGGTGTCAACGTGTTGCTATTTAACTGATTTATTATAATGTCATTGTGCCACCAGCATTATTAATAACATGACATCTTGTGCCAATGACAGAACCTGCTAACCCCATAACTGCCTCTATGTGATTACACTGACTCCCTGCAGAGGCATTTTTGAGATAAATGAAATAATTAAAATAATGAAACAGGCATTTAAAGGGTTAAAATCCTGAAAATTATTGAATGTTTGGTAGTTTTGAGTACGTTAGAAGTTGTTCAGGTGATTCATGGAAAAAAAAGTTTTAAAAAATGTTGATATATGATGATTTAATAGCAGTTTTTATGAGCGTGTATATTTTTGCCACGAAGGGGTCCAGAGGGTACAAAATGCATCACGAGAGTATACAAAACATGTTAGAGTAAACGACATTGGATTTCAAAAATTTGACTCAAAAGAAGACTTCTTGAAAAAATCCATGCCAAAAGCTGATGAAATGATCACCAAATCAAAAAAAAAGTCAGAAAAAATGTACAAAAATGCCCGAGGAGGGCACATGGGGTCCAAATAACAAATATTGAGGTTCATCCAAGGTGCATCCTGTGAAAGGAAAGCTGTAAGAAGGCTGAGAATCTTAACACATAACATCCAAATTATTGTATTGTACTTTTACTCTGTATGCTATATGATACTGTAGTATTGCTTCTTTAATGATGCTCATACAACAATCTGTTAGAGTCAAAATAGGTATTGTTTTGTAAGAGACATAATTTATAAATTAATTACAAAAAGCACATGTAGGGTGAATTGCCCTAATGTGGGACATTTTTTGCATTTCAGACTTCGGGAATATTTTTGCGATATGAAGCCGATACAATAAATCAACATCAAGTACCATTCTGAAATCCCCAGGATGTGTCCTAATCAAACCAAAAGAGAAAATGCAGATATTACACTCATAAAAGAAATGGTAGACATATAAGTACTCTTAGTGCCAAGTTGTCTCAGACAATCTGCTTTTCCTAATGTGGGACAGTTCTGTGCAAAATGTGGGACACTGAAAAGTATATGTTAAAAAGCCTCAGTCACCTTAATTCATGTAATAAAAACATCTCAGTAACACTCAAAGCTAAATGTGCAATACCATGTTCAGCTATGTTACTATTTATAATGTTATTGTTTTTACAACAGAAGATGTTTTTCTTTAAATTGAAGTTAAATGCATCAATCTGGTGCACTTTGAGGGCAAAATTAAGAGATTTATGGATACAGCTCTCTCAACACTCATATGAAACAGAACTGTATATATTTCAATAATCCAAAAACCATTAGAATATGCTCACAACCAATAACACATATTTGATAAACTCCTCTCTCCTATCTTTATCTTAGTCTGCATTCTTTCTTTTTTATTTATGCATATTCGACTAATCACTCCCCTTTTACACTGTGTTTTTTTTTTTTTACTGACCTATAGCACATATTGGAATGATTTCTTAACTTAGGCTATTTTTTTACAATGTGTGTTGGAAGGATTTATTAAATTACTATGAATATTTGGGCTTAAATTAATTGCCATCTCTTAAACTCAGACATTAATCCCTAACATTATCTCTGACTTTGTCATACCATTTTAACAGAGATGCAGCCACCCCCAATTATTTAATATGATTTGCCCTTCACCTTAAATATCTAAAATACTGCATTAGAAGACTAAAGCCCTGTAAATAACCATTGCTCTTGCACAATCCATGCCCCTTTTAGACCTGTCCCACATTAGGCAAATCATACTGTCCCACTTTGCGAAACATGTTTCCTAAAGTGGGGCGATAGAACATTTGATTGAAATAAAAAATATAGAGTATATTTACACCATATTATAATATGTTCTGATGAACAAACATATCATAAACACATCCTGATAACAATTTGAAAGATTGTTTTATTTATACGAATTTTAAAACCTTAACATTAAATTTGTCAAAACGCTATGTCATTGACAATTGGGTGGTCTTCACACATGGTACTTCCTGTTTAAAGGTTTTTCCACCCTCATCTGTGATTGGATATTTGAGAAGTCATGTGATTTTGATCGCATGACATCACAGCTTGTGTTAACCCATAGTTTCATTGACTCTCATTTGTTTGCGGAAGACCTACACCCATTTGAGCTTAGGTGTCCCACATTAGGGCGTGTCCCACATTAGGGCAACTCACCCTACCTTATAACTTTAACAATAACTCGAGTGCCCCAGTAAGTCAAGAGAGTGTGACCTTGAACCAGCATGCACAACACCATAACCCTGAAACACAAGCAGCTAATGGAATCCAGCCAACGATCATTTTCATTTTAACACCTATCCTTTTCCAAATGCAAGTCATTCATCCTTCACAAACACTGAAGCATCTATATATCATATGGGCACCTTAGCACACTGAAATAAATAAACACATTTCCCTTTAATTATACTAATATGGCTAATGTATCCATTCGCAGCCAGATGATCACATCACATTAGAAGTGAGGAAACTGCTGTCTTCAGTTTCAGGTCTGTACTTCAGCATGCACATTAACCAAGTGAGGATGAGTCAAAACGGGACTAGGACACTGGCAACAAACAGACAGAGAGGGCCGACGAGCCACGACGTGTGATTGAAGTTATGCACAAAGATGAGCCCCAGAAATAAGAGCACCGACATGAAAGAAAAGATGGCGCACACGCAGCCGGTCATGAACGCAACTTGTTTGCAAGTCTGACAGCTGGCGTTGCTCTCCTGGGAGGTGGCTGAATACGCGGCTGAAACTGTCTGGACATCTGTGAAGGATGAGTCCAAGGGCTCGTGATTTTTAAGCGGGAGCAACTGAGTCAACGCGCTGTTGTCGGGGAGGTTGTGCACACGGTACTCCGGCACCGGAGTTCGGTGGCGACACACGGGGCAGCCGATTCTCCATCCACGACACCCACGGAAGTGCAGAGCGTCGAGGCACTCATGGCAGAAGGTTTGGGAGCAGGCCAGCAGTTTGGGAGTGTGGCGGCCCAGGTCGAAGTAGTTGTAGCATATTGTGCACTCGTATTCCTCGCTAGGGAACGAGTCGGTCACGTCAGGCGGAGCTGAGCCACACTCACCTCCTGTAACGACCGCCTCCGCCATGTTCCCGTAGAATAGGGCTACCGAAACAGTATTATTTCACGGAGATACATTTGAATAAACAAGCACAATCATACTGTGCAGTATTTCCTGGTTGGAAGATGGCCGTATTTCGATACAACGTTTTAATGTGAGAAATATTATCTCTGCATCACTGCATGTCCTATGAGTCAGTCCTGTCGTCTGTCGTTGGTCTACCCGGTTGTGTCCAAGTCCGATCACAGACTTGTTGCGTAACCGGCCCGGGGCACAACCCGGGGACAGGGGACAGACTATGGGCCTCATTGAGATCATATTACCAGAACTAAACCCCGTTTACCATAAAATCATCCAGGCGGCAAATGTATTCAAATTGACTTTCCAATATGGTCTGTGTCACCTGGTTCATTTGTCACAAGTGTGGGTCATGTGTATACGGTGGATTAAATAGCCCTATTTAACCGTATAATTATAATGTAGTGCCTGCAGCGACAATAGACCAGTGGTTCCCAAACGGTGTGCCGCGGCACACTAGTGTGCCGTGAGGCAAGTCCGGGTGTGCCGTGGGATTTTGTGACAACCATACGTTATTATTGCAATATACAACTACACAACAAATAATTATTTTTTAATTTACTATATCAGTACTTTGTAGGTTTATATGTACGTAATCTGCGTGATTTGTGCGTCCACATCTCCACGTGCAGTGCTGCATAAACATGGATGAGTCAGCGATCATTTTCGAGGGGTGGAGGTATGCGCATTATTTTGAGTTCGTCCCATAGACTGTAGGTGTAGGTTCGTCCGAAGAATAGACAGGAATGTGACGGTGAGGTGCAAACTGTGTCCAGGCCAGAAGCTGTTATCCACTGCTGTAAACACCACGTCAAACCTCAACAAACACCTGCAAAGAACACATGCTAAGGTGAAGCTACCGCACGCGCTATTTGTTGTTTGTTGATATCACGTAGTCTGTTCTTCTTCTCTGTCTTCCGGTTGTTGCCTGTTTTGAATGACAAATACACACTACCGCCGCCTGCTGGTAAGGAAAGTTATTGCCACTCACACATGCGCAGTTCATACGTGCTCCGCGAGTAAAGTAACGAGTTACTTTATGTAGATAGTAACGAAGTAGTGTAATATATTACTTTTTTTAAAGTAATATGTAATATATTAATTTTTTTTAGTAACGACCCCATCTCTGGAGTTGGCGTTCTCTACTCTGATTTACATGAAGAACAACAGGAGGTCACGGCTCTCTGTTGAACAGGACTTGCGAGTGGCCCTCTCCTCAGTGCCACCAAGGATTAAAAAATTCTGCGCGCCCTGACAGGCACATGTATCTCACTAATTTGTAAATCGGCAAAAATATTTACAATAGCACAGTTTCAATGCTGATTGCTGAAATGTTACATTTATAATTTGTAGTTCAGGACCATGGACAATGCAGCTTCCTTGCATTGACAGTTCTCTGTGCTGAATTTCTGCTGAGTTTCCTTTGCCTCATTTTTAATTTTGTGACCTGTCTGGTTTAAATGTGTGTTGCTGCTTTGATGAAGCCTAATTTGATAAAGTTTCAAATTAATTTCTGAAATACTTCGTTAATAAATATTTCATGAGTAATATAGTTGTCTTTGTCACATTTTATTTGGCATTAGTAAATAATTATGCACATTTACAGATATTTTACATGATATGAGTGATACCACGTGTTATAAGGGCTATTTTGCACAATAGGTGTGCCTTGAGATTTTTACTTGTCCTTTGGTGTGCCCTGGGCACAAAAAGTTTGGGAACCACTGCAATAGACAGCACCACCTTTTGTTTGTCCCGTAGGCATTTCAGCACCACATGCAGTGGACAGCGCCGAGTAGTGCAATCAGTAGAGGTGAGCGGATCGATCCCAAAATATCGATACTTCCGATATTACGTTACGTTTCAAAATATCGATACTGCCAATAGGATCAATACTTTTATACTTTGTTTCCCCTCTCCTCTCCTCTACTCGACAATTTCATCAAAAACGATGTGCTGAGTGCAGACGAACACAAGTATATGCGCTCTTTTCTTCTCTCTCCACTGCTGTCCTCCTCTCATCGAGGCTCACGCACTCGCAGCGCGCTCCCTGCCTGACGGCCGATTATCACGCTGACAGACAGCAGCCAGCAAGGGCAGGACAGCAGCAGCCAGCGACTCGCGAGTGCGACACACAAACGCACATGATGGCTGAGAGAAAGAGGAGCGTTGTATGGAGCTATTTCACAACTGTCAATGAAAACTTAGCGAACTGTGATGTGTGTAAGAAGGCAGTTCGCTACTGTGGCCACTTTGTATTGTTATTTTTCATGTTTGCACTTTAAATGTGCAAAAGTAAAACGTTTATTTGTATATAAAAACTGTCCTGTCTTTAATCATGAAAATGAATTCAGATTTAGTCTATATGCTTTCAGCTCAAAAATAATGTCATGCAGCTCTCCCCTATATGAAAGTAAGACGCTTTTCATTTAAAAAAGTATAGGTATCGGTATCGGTGATACTGGCCCTGAAATACTTGGTATCGGATCGAATCCAGATTTTGTAGTATCGCCCACCCCTAGCAATCAGCAGTGACACCCTGAGCTGCAGCTAAATATTCTAGAAATAAATCTGTGTTTGAAGTGCTGTTATTTAACTTTCAAGATGAAGGACATCATATTTGCTATATGGTCTTTTGCTGTCCCAAATGCTGCCCCATTTTCTCCACACTTTAAAACTCCCTGTCTTTACAACCACTCTTAATATGCAGTTAAAACTTGATTTTGAAACACTATCTGACCACCATACTTTTTTATGTCAAAAATGTCGATGACATTTTTCAAGATGCATTAAACCCTGCAGGCTCAGGTTGCCCTTACCTTGGCTCAGATACACCTGTATATCACTTTTGAATGACTGTACAAAGTGTTGACAACCCCTGCAGCATCCATACCATAACTAAACAACTGTCAAATGTCATCTATGGTTTCATGGTCCATAGAAATGCACTTGCAAATGAAAGCAGAAATAATTTTATAAATTGATTCCCCTGCTGGAAAATCAATTCATTTGGGGGATTGAATGTCAAGTAGCGTTAACTCTTCTCGTCCGACTTCCTCTCCTCTTGATTGTTTTAAAACCTTGTCTGGTTAACAGAAGGTATATTGTACAGCCTAATTTATATTTGATAAAAAAAGATCAACTGCTGTAATTGCATCACCTCGCCACACATGATAGCACGCAGTAAGATCTATATAAAGTGAAGTTATGTCTTTCAAGATTTTTTAGAATAGATATATGTCCCTGTAAAATGATGTTGGTGGGTCTCATGGTGTCAGACGGAGCTTTATTGTATTTCTCCGAGAACATGTGCCCTCTTGTGGATGAATGTATGCATGCATGTTTGTGCAAAAAGAATATAGGCCTGCGAAGTAGCATATTGTGTCTAACTGGATTACAGTCTCATACAATTACATGCAATAATGACATTTAACATTGTAGTAACTGTAATGAGTTACAGTTATTTAAAGTAGTAATCCGATTAATAATGCTTTTGAAAGCACTTGTTCAATTAGACCTGCTTTAAAGCACGTTAGGATTATCAAAAGAGAATAGGTGTGATAGAAGACAAGTTATCATACATTAATCATGGAATTAATGATTGTTGTTGTTTTACTATGCAAATATGTACGTTTCAGTAAAATAATGTTAAATATAGTCCAGAAATGTTTACATGAAAGAAGTAAAATAATGTGAAAACAGTACAGTTTGCATAGAACCCAATTATGTTCTAAAAACAAAACTTATATGACATAACATTTTGGATCCCTATATGTTGCGTGATGGCAAACTGCAAACATTGAAAGCAAAGGGCAGCCTTGTGTTTGACATGTTTTGGTAATTTCCAAGCAAACATAATGTGCATAATATACAGCCAATTGAAAATCACCTATCATACAATATGTTTCACAGTTGCAAATTGACTCACAACATAACCTTGTACTGGATATGTCATAATCTAAAATATATTATTGCTTTATATCAGGATGCATCCAGTTTATTTGGGGAAGTGTGAAATCCACTTCATGGGGTTGTCACAACACAAGATACAATGTCTTCCTTGCCTCTCTCTCTCTCTCTCACACACACACACACACACACACACACACACACACACACACACACACACACACACACACACACCACACACACACACACACACACACACACACACGCACACACACATACCATGTATACATCACTTCAGGGGACATTACATTGACTTACATGCATTTCCTGGAGACTTATCCTAACCTTAACCATAACCAACACATGCCTAACCCTAACCCTAACCCTTAACCTTACCCTAACCCTAATCCTAAACCTAACCAAGTCTTCACCCTAAAATTAATGATTCCCCTCATGGGGACCTCCAATTTGTCCCCATAAGGGAAGCCAGTCCCCACACGTGACTATGTAAACAGATTTAGGTCCCCACAAGTATAGTAATGCTAGACCACACGCACACACACACCCACCCACACACACACACACACACACACACACACACACACACACACACACACACACACACACACACACACACACACCACACACACACACACACACACACACACACACACACACAGAAGCAGAGGCGTATAACGTAGGAAAGATAAGAATCTTATAGTATCTCTGTATGCTCATCATGGGACCATAAACTAGAAACTCACTATTTTCCATCCTCGCTTGCGGAACTATTAAAGTAACCCTACATCCCCAGAGGCTGTATGTTAACAAATGCTCTCCTTCTCTTTTCTCTCTCTCACCTGGGTGCACCTTTTGGCTCTTTGTTATGATAACCGCACTCAGTTTGACTTCCCACTGAATTGTTGTGGGCTGTATGTATTTGATAAGATCAAACACATGAGAAAAACAGTGCCTCTTTTGAAGGGTACCTTGTAACAGAAACATCCTAAGGATAGTAATCACAGAGTGGATTTCCTTCTTCTGCAGATGCAATGTTTTCTGAGATGCTTATCTAGATGTCGGCCTGGCCATTCTTCTAATCTGTTTCTCATACTTCACACAATGTCCG